TTCATCCATTCAAATATAGAATTCAAATCACTCGAAATTTAACTCTCGCTATCATTTTTCTTCAGTGGTTACTTTGCCTCCTACTGTTCGCATTTCAAATAATATCCGTAAACGACAGATGGCATGTCTATACTAGAAGCAGCATAGCTTTATTCGTATTGCTTGGTGCGGCACTAATGTACGGTAAAGCGGCATACGTTTTGAAAAGTAATTCAAGATATTTAAGAAGTGCAGCCGCGGTTTCAACCACTGCGCAGAATAAAGCACAACATGCACGTCTGGTTAATGAGAAACGATTGCTTACAACAATGTTCTTGGTGTCATTCCTTACGTTGACCACGGTGGCTCCTATGACGATCTATATGAGTACCGTAGATGATTTGGCTATGTCATACACTCGCATGAGCAGCAATCCAGTCCGCGTATGGCTTACTACGTTACTCTTTGTTAACTTTTCAATTAATCCCTTCATTTATATCTGGCGTTTGAGGAATTACAGAACAACATTTAAAATGCTTCTTAACTGACTAGGTTTCTGCAGCGTTTGAGAAACTGTTGCTTTTACACTTGCTGTAGGCTACCATCCTATCATGCAGCTACGCAGCGTACAAATGGAATGTAACTTCATCGGAATCTCTCTGTGTGGGAGGTATATGGTACATGTTTAAGGTTTGGCTGGGAAGGCGGTATTCGTGTAAAAAAGAGAATAAATTGCCGAACAACATACTCACAGATTTCCTTGGTTTCTCTTTTGGCAATTTACATGACAAGTAGGAGCTGGTAGATTGTTACCTCTGAAACTGACAAGTGAATAGTATGTGCAATTGCTGTGTATGACCTAGTTTTTATTTGTTAGCATTCGTATATACGGGTATACAAAATAAGTGTTTGCTATAACTAGCCCTTTTCGTTGCGTTATCAAAAGTATAACATTACTCACTATTTTTTCTGGAATATTTTATGAAATCTATATGAGGAATTTGTGGATATGGGCATTTTTCTGATGCCGTAATTACATCCAGAAAAGCCACTGCCATATAGGCAGTAAAACAGTTTTGATTATCGCTACGGTTATGTCATCAGTTTATTTATTGTCTAATAAAAATTTAGCAAACAAAAGCGACTGAAATGTTATAAAATAATCAAATTGAATATTGCGTCTTAATCGATTTTAATATACCTCCTTTATACTAACTGGACGCGAATGCAAATTACTATGAGGTGTGTTTGCAAATTAGTACGAGGTGTGTTCTCGAACACACCAAGGTGTGTTTCCATTAAAAAGATATGTGTTATTGAACACACCTTATATGTATCAAAGGTGTGTACGAAAAGGTGTGTAAAATACAGGTATTTCTTACCACACCTAGGTGTGTTTTGTTACATACCATGGTGTGTTTTCTAACATATCATGGTGTGTTGTCTAACACACAAAGGTGTGTTTTCTAATTTGTGTTGGAAGGTGTGTAAAATGTACACAGTGTACCATTTCAGTGTACCATTTTAGGGGTCAAAAAATTTTCCGGACATACCAAAAGTTTTCGAAACATCACTGAATTGACTGAATTTCCGACAAAATTGACAGAATTTGTCCCATTTTTTTTTAGAATAAACCAAAATTGCCCGACTGTTGATTGAATATTGCCCGACTGCCCAACAAACTGTCCCCCCCCCCGCCCGGTACGCCTATGCCAGCAACCCCTTCGTTTTCAACATTTTATGCCATTTCCTTTTTAATTTGTTATTCTTAGGTATCGAAGTAAAGTGAAAGCTCAGGATTATGTAGGCTGTTATTTAGACACTGCGGAACACAAAAATATTTCCTTTCACCAGTACATGTTTTCTAAGAGTTTGTTTCTTCTACATACTGCATGAATTGGTCTGCATCCGGATTTGAGGTGCAAAGTTTGTCTTCTACTACTTATTCTTTATATTGACCAATATTTAAAACTTAAGAAACACCACCACCCAGAGTAGGAGTGAAAACTATACCGGCATGCAACGCGTTCAGGCGCGGTTTATTACATAATATCGATTTCTCGCTCTGCGCCCTCATTGTTCGGTCGGCTTTCGCTGCGTTCACACCTCGAGGTTTCGAGCTATTCGAAAATATTTTATAGAAAACATTCTAGAATGGCGAGTTTTTGCATTATTCGTGGAACGAAAGCTTCGTTTTTGGGTGGGCACGAGCTTCTATTTGTTCACTGTGTGTCAAAACAGCCTTTACTGTTGATTCCGGAAGGATTACCGTGTGTTCAACTTGAATGCCACGAGGGTCATGGTAGTTTTACGGATAGTTTGACAATCAGAAGAATAGTCCTTTGTCCAGCTGTGGTTAACGGGATAAAAATTGATGAAATGTTCTCTGATTGCGGTAATCCTGCAGTGGTGCACATTCACTTGTGTTTTTAAGATGAGATGATCTATATAATATATCAATATAAAAATCTCCCATATATACGATGTGACATATTTCGCTAATACAGCAGTATTCATACTGACAACAAATGTTGTTTGTATATTTTATTAAACTTATTTTTGTTTCATATCATGCAGTTCTTCGACCCTAATGATCAACGGGAAGGAGGTAACAAATTATATAACAATGTTATGTTGTGGGAGTTTGATATTTCAACATCACCAACATCCCAAGCAACCCACCATGTGACCCAGACAGTCAAGATGTGACCCAGACAGTCAGTCTCCCAATAGATTTACATCAGCCAACTGATTGTAATTGTTTTAATTTACCAATAAATCCTGTTTGCCTGACGGGCATTCATACACACCGAATGTTAGATGATGAAGCACCTAGTGGTAGTAGTGTTGATGGTGAACCTGAAGGAGGGACAGTGAATGTAGAGAATGAAATGGAGAAAATTGAGCAATTGACTGAGATGCTGGATGTGGAAGACACTGAAGGTGGTGAGTACGAAGACGATCAAAGCGAGGATGAGAGGACTGATGGAAATACTGAATTTGATGTTAATATGTATCCTGAGAAATTTGTCGTGGTTGGATCCTGGCAAGAAGAAAGGTATCAATGTGATCTTGCGAGATACATGTGGAGAAGGTCAGCAAATGAAGAATTGGAATTCAAAGTGGAACATGAACCAGACAATGTTCGAGACACAAATGCATTGAAATTTTTGGTGTTTCACAATGACAAGTTGCATATAATTGGTTATTGTGGAGTCAACAAAATTCCTAAAGTTAAGTGTGCTCTTCACAAAATGAGATACAATCAATCGCATTAGACAGTTTGAAAAGAACATATGCATACAGAGAAAGAAAGTTACTATACAGTGTCTCATTATTAATTGTCAAAAGTGGACCATGGGATAGAGATGATCCAATGAATAACTATAACAGCCATATAAATCGGTATAAGCATTAACACTACGTAACTTGCAATTCAAAGAGAAAATTAAATTCAAATTTTAATTCACTCTTAGGTGGTGCCAGCATTCTCCCTTTGACGAGTTTAGAAAGAGTAAAATAATAAAGTATGCATTTAAAGTCTCAATACAACCCAGTCGGTTAATTAACATGCTATTAATTTAGGAGAACATATAGATCACATGCCTTATGGATCACTTTCATAAATGGCTGTCAGTTAATATATACATTGTTCAATATACAAATAATGAATGTTTATGAGTGCAATGGTATGAATATTTTCATGAGGTGAAAGATGGAACATTCCATCTTTCATCGAATGAAAATATTCTTACCATTGCACGAATGAAAACATTCATTATTTGTTTTATATAAGGGACTGGTCATAAAGTAACTGCTAGGGTGGGCTGGAGGTAAATCACAAATTTTGCCAATAAGTTCGATGACCCATCTTAGGATGTAGATAAAAATTTCAAAGCCCATCTAATCTTACAAAAAAATTTTCATGACCCGCCCAATCTAAATTGGGAAAATACATTTTTATAATAAAAAAAACTTGCAGGTATGAACATTGTAAATATACACCAGCACTGTATTGACATACATAATTCCACCAAGTTAGACCAAAACATTCATCATCAATTACGATTCTGAGCTGCTCTCCAGTTGGTTGTATTTGCTGTGATTCGACCACTTCTTGTTGTTGTATAAAATAAAGTACTGGCTTCAATAGCATCATTTGCATTTGATAATTTGGATGGTTTTGTTTACTTTTATTATTAATATCTTTATTGTTTGAAGTGGACATGCATGGGTTTTTGTTTGGTGGCCCAACCGTGGATATACAAAAAAATTGGCGGCCCATCGAAACCGCCCAAAGATTTTCCATGGCCCATCCCAAATCACTCCAGCCCACCATAGCAGTTACTTTATGACCGGTCCCTAATACCAAAAGAGACTAATATTAAAATTTTACTGTAACTCCCGCCATTTTACGAGTCGTATTAGCATTAAATCCCATTTACTGAGCTTCGAATATCGGGGTTAAAATAAACTGCGATCACCGTACGAGAAGCATTTTGACGGATGCGATTTATCGAAAACACAAAGAGTGCAATGGAATGAAACGTATAGTACAATTGCACTCGCAAGAGTACAATGGAACGTATTCCATTGCACTCTTGGGAAAGGGAAATTTCTATTCAATATCATGTGACCATAAACAGCCAATTCTACTTCATCATTGGTCAGTTCACAAAGAAGTCACGTGGGATAGAGCGCGGGAGATCGGAGCATTCAGTTCGAGCGTGATTTCAGAGCGTTTGGTTTGGAAAAAAATTTCGTTTGACTTGTTTGGACAAAATAGTTTTCATTTGACATATTTCCGATGGCAGAACCTGAAGACAAAGACGAACTTCTTTTCTCAGAAGACGAAGAGCCTTCAATCAATCTAAACAAAGAATTCCTGTCGACTATCTCGTTACTGAATACAAACATGCTTGCTGTAAACGAGTCGCTTAAGCAATTTAGTACCCAAAGGCACACGGCAGAACCTGCCAGAAAAAGGCCACTTTTGTCAAACAAATAAGGCCTGAACGACCAGCAGAATGGTCATCAATCAGATGCCGATCAACTGCTGAACCAGCAGGCGAATAAACGGCAAAAAGTCGTTAACAACGACGGCGAAATGGGCGCCACACCAGTGGTCGTTAACAACGTCAACAATAGCAATGGCGGGGACGTCACAGAGTCACCCGATCAACGCGATGACCCTTTGCTGGAAGAAATCGCACAAGCTATGAATGACGCGGAAAAATCCGCCCCCAAAATTGCTGAACAATTAGCAAAAATCATCAACTCTCGCTGGCTAAACAAGCTGAGTGATGAAAGCCTTCGTGAGAAACTTGATTCCCATTTGCGTCCGGTTAACTGTGACCGACTCATTACTCCGAAGGTCAACCCAGAAATCTGGGGACATCTCGACAAAGAAACAAGAAGGAAAGATCTATTGCTGTCATACTTGCAAACTAACCTAGCAGCGGTTGGTAATATTGTCTCGTAAGCAACAGATATGTTGTTGACAGCTCGTACGGAAAACAGCGAAGTCCACATCGAAAACCCTATTCGCAAGAATATGGACGCCATTGCTATTATGGGCCACATTAGTTATGATTTGGCTCAACGAAGACGTGATGTTATTCGTCCAACACTCAATAAGAAGTATGCTACACTGTGTGCTTCACATGTGCCTATTACCACTTTGCTTTTCGGGGACGAATTGCAAGCACAACTGAACCACATACGGGCATCGAATAAAATAAAAAATACGGCAAGTGGTTCCCAATATTATCCACCAAGGCGCCATTTCTCGCCTCAACAGGCACCAGCCAGATCTGGTCAACAAAATCCTTTTTATGGAAACAGCCGCCTCAGGGCGGCAAACCCCAATACAGGAGAAAGTACAAACAATATCGGTCCAATCAACCGAGGAATCAGGAAAATCAATGAGCAACATTTTGACCGAATTGCAGGTAAGCACATACAATACACTCCTACCTTCCTTGCTAGTTTATCTTGAAAATAAAGTAAAAATGTTTAAAGCGGGAAACTTAGCTGCCTATGTTAAAGAATGGCAAGCTTTAACGTCGGATCCAGAAATAATGAAGACACTGACTGGTCAGAGAATTGAATTCTCTGAAATTCCTGTACAGTCGAAAACTTTGATGAATGTAAAATTCACAGAGGCACAAACCAAACTGGTAGACCATGAAATTCTGAAAACTCCTCAACAAGGGTGTTATTGTGTCATGCACACGCGAAGAGGGAGACTTTGTCTCTCCAATTTTTACCCGTCCAAAAAAGGATCGCACTCTTCGAATGATCTTGAATTTAAAATCACTTAACAAGTTTATTACCTATTACCATTTTAAAATGGAGACTGTCTGGTCTGCAATAAGGTCAATGACCCCTGGATGCTGTATGGCTTCCATAGATTTAAAAGATGCAATCCATGCACCCAGAGAAGTCTACTTATTCCTACAGAACGAATTGTGTTTTTAGGCTTTGTCCTTGACTCCTTAAAGATGTGTGTGTCATTGACGCCTGAAAGGGCTTAATTGAGGCTTGCCAAAAATTGCTTCAAAATGCTTGTCCCACCATCCGAGAGGTAGTCCAGGTGCTTGGAATTATGACTTCTAGCTTCCCAGGGGTAATGTTTGGCCCACTCCACTATAGATCTCTGGACATGGACAAAACAAATGCCCTTAAAAAAAGTAACGGGAATTTTGAGGGGAAAATGTCTATATCACAGGAATCTATAACAGATGTAAAATGGTGCAGGATAACATCCCTAACAGAGGCCTATAACCCAATAAACCATGGGGAGGTTGAAGTCACTATATCTACCGATGGATCTTTGACTGGATGGGGGGCCTGTATAGATACCACAACAACAGGTGGGAACTGGACACCTGATGAAAGGGCAAAGGACATAAATTACTTAGAAATCCTAGCAGTTTTCTTGGCATTGCAATCTTTTTCCCCTGCAGTTGCCGGAAAACATGTAAAACTGCTAGTTGATAACACTACGGCTGTATTTTCTATCAACAACATGGGCACTTTTCACTCTAAAGCAAATAATACATTAGTGGCAAAAATCTGGGAATGGTCTATAATTAACAATACATGGCTCACTGTGGCACATATTCCAGGGAAACAAAACACTGCGGCTGATAGAGAATCTCGTGCATCTTGACAAGAAACTGAATGGTCTCTTAACAAGGTTATTTTTAATGCCGTAGTTTCAAAATTGAGGTTTTCTCCTAATATTGATTTGTTTGCCTCTTGGCTTAATTACCAGGTTAAGCCCTTTGTTGCTTACGCACAAGACCCAGAAGCATATGCAATTGATGCTTTTTATTTGTCATGGAGAATGTATAAATTTTATGCTTCCCTCCTTTCTGCATTATTCACCAAGTTCTTCAAAAAGTAAAGAAGGACCAAGCCACAGGCTTGATTATTGTTCCATATTGGCCCACACAAGCTTGGTGGCCTTACCTAATGAATAGGCTTATACAATACCCTGTGATTTACCTAGGAGACAGAACACACTGATCCTACAAGCAGATCCACAGGCGATACACCCACGAGGGGGATTAATCCAGTTTGTGCAACTGTAGGAAATGAAATGGAATCGAATTCCTCTTCACTAAATACCAGAGGGGGTTATCGTACAGTGTTTTAAACACTATTCGGAGGGCACTTTCTACAGTTATATTTCCCACAGACCAATCATTTGGCAGTCATCCCTTAGTAACCCGATTTTTGAAAGGTGTTTTTCGAATCTCGGCCCTCTCTTCCTCGATATCAAGCTACATGGAACGTTTCTGACGTATTGAACTACTTAAGAACAATGGCACCTGTTGAGGAGTTAAAGCTAAAAGACTTAACATTTAAAACTGTTATGTCGGTAGTTTTGTTATCCGGTCAGCGATGTAAAACAGTATATGCATTCACATTGAGTGGTATGAAACAATTGGATAACCAAATTACATTTGAAATTAATACTCTGCTAAAGACTTCCAAGCTTGGACAGCATCTTAAACCACTAGTATTTAAAGCATACCCAGTTGACAAGCTTCTGTGCGTGGTGACATGCCTCAAGCAATATTTGCTTAATACAAGTGCGGTGAGAGATGGAAATAATGAGTTATGGCTTAGTTTTAACAAACCACATAAGCCAGTAAGCAAAGATACTATTGCAAGGTGGATCAAAACTGTAATGGGAAAAGCTGGTATTGATACAAGTTGTTATGGTGCACACAGCACTCGATCTGCATCCACATCTGCAGCATCCTCTACAAAACTGCCAATTAATATTATTATGAATGCAGCTGGATGGCCCAGTGAAACCACATTCCAAAGGTTTTATAATAAACCAATAGAACATTCCGCTAATTTTGGGGAACATTTGTTGTTATCTTATCAAGATGTAAACAAAAAATTCTGTTGTGTTTTGACACATTGTCAAGCTGTTCATGGACACATTGCTTTAAAGTCTCACGTGACTTCTTTGTGAACTGACCAAATTTAACGAAAAATTAAACGAGGCTTACCTGTAAGGTGCAGTTTGATTTGAATTCTACGAGTCATTGGTCAGGAACAAAGAAGTCACATTCCCACCCTTTAGGGAATGTGGAGGCTATACATGCATATCCCACCCTAAAAATTATGATTATGTGTTCATTCACAGCTGGTTTTAAAAACTGAATGCTCCGATCTCCCG